CAGGGGAGTCAAGTGGCCTGACCCCTGCTGCATGTTGCCCACCCACACTTACCCTCCTGGCTGCCTGGCCCCACCCCCATCCCTATACCCTCCCTGCTCTCTAACCCGCACTCTGCTCACCTCCCCCTCTGCCACCACTTACCTTATCCTTGCAGCTTTGGCTTTTGTTAGGGCCCTCCTTTAGCAAAGGATAGGGATCACACAGTACAGGGTGCCTCTGGACCTAGCCTAGCCATGCAGAAGCTGTTGCAATGGCAAACAGCTTAAGACCTGGCCTTGGAGCTGGAGTCAGAGCTGTACCTGCCACTGTATGGCTGGGCTGGAGACAGGATGGGCTCCTTGGCCTGAACAGAGCCCTGCTAGAGCTGCCAGAGTAAGTTAAGCCATAGTAAATTTAATAGATTTCAAAGAAATTAGGGCTGGAAGAAACCTCACGAGATCATTGAGTCCAGACCCCCTACCCAAGTGGCAGGAAGTCAGCTGAGGTCAGACCCCAGCAAGATAAGCATCCAAACACAACTTAGACATGTCCAGAGTAGGTGCTTGCACCACTTCTGGGGGGAGTCTGTTCCAGACTGCGGAGACTCGGACAATAAACAAGTTTTTCCTTATGTCCAGTCTAAAACGGTTTTCCAGCAGTTTGTGACTGTTGGACCTAGTCTTCCCTGAGGGAGCCCGGGTGAACAGATGTTCTCCCGGGTCCTGATGTACACCCCTGATGTACTTATGGGCTGCCACCAAGTCCCCTCTGAGGGAATTACAAAGGCAGAGGGAATCAGAAATTGCAGGGGGCAGGTGGCCGGGAGGCAGTGACTGAGGCTGAAACTCTGACCTCGGAGTGAAGCCTCTTAAAATGAAGAGGGACATAAGATTAGGAGGGACAATGAGACAGATCTCCAACCACCATCCCATTCCTCTGAAACCTGTGAGAAAATGGTACATGTAGATTTAATTTCCTCTCCTTTTCTGGTTGAAGTGGTGGCCTAATGAACACTGTAGGGCAAGATAACTCAGCCTGTGGGTCCAACTGATTTAGCAAAAGGTGCTCACTTTCTCAAACATGAGACTGAGGATTCACGGGAAAGTTAGAAACATACCATATTTACCAGAATCCAAGACAACTTTGAATTTCATATGACCCCCATTTCCAATAACTAGATTCTACACACAGAAAATTTAAAAATTGTTATCATTTTCCATGTACAGAATCTAATTATTGGAGGGATGTCTTAAATTCATGCCCTACAATTGTGGCAGGGAAAGCACAGGGGAAGGGCAAGGAGCCAGACCCCACCTCTTTGTCCCACCACATACCCCCTGAACCTACATACCTATATGCTTGCCCCCTGCTACCTATTCCCCCCACTTGCCTGTGCCTGGCTCCCCCACTGCCTTCTGGGCTGCTCTGGCTCCAGCTTCGGGAAAGTCAGCAGCAGTATCAGCCCTGGCCCATGTACAGCCAGGCAAATAGTGGCACAGCTCTGGGCTGGACCTGAAGGTAATGGAGGGGGGGAAGAAATGCTTCAGTCTTCTCCATGCTCCTCCCTGCTCTGCATGGTCTCTCTCCTGCACCCCCACTACTTCCAGTCTCCCCACAGCTACTCACCTTCATGCTGTAAGGCCCCTCCCCCGCTGCATGACCCATGGTCTGCCCTAGGCTGGTACTCAAATCTAAAACAAAACTTTTCCCCATGCCTATGCTGTGTGTGTGGGTGGGGGGGAACAATTAGTCTTGGATTCGAGTAAAAACACTAATGGACATTTTACAGAATAAGGACATACTCCAAAACCTAGAAACAAGTAGGATGGGAGGCTGCATAAGTCTGCCACACCACACCGCAAAGCACTAAAGATCAATGTCCAAAAATGCAATGAGTGTCACCCAAGCCTTACTAAACTCAGCCTGCAAAAATTTCAAGATGGCCATACTTCTGGTTTATCTAGGTGAAATGTCTCACTCCCTGTATCAGGCACAGAAGGCATATAAAATCTGAACAGAATGCAGGTATACTGCTAGTCTAGAAAGTATCTGGGTTTGTATATTATATGGCATGAAAGAAGGGACTGATTACTTTTCACTTTACCTTTCATACATACACATTTCTACATTCCCTTAGCTTTTTTGATTTCCAGGCTAAATAAACCTAGTTCTTGGGGCTTATAAGCAGACAAATTCAGATAATGTCTTTAAACATCTTCAGCATTAAGTTTCTTAAAGCTTTGTGAAAGACTGGCAGCCAAAACTCATGTTAGCACTACCTGCTTTAACTGTTAGTACACGTTGAGTGGGTACACCTACTGAGTTAGTATTTTAGCCTGCTGCATTTGATTGCACCAGGCAAAATCTAATTGCTTTGCATGAACAGATTCAGCAACAGCTATCCAACTCACCTGTGGCAGACATAACAAGAACGGTCTTTGTGAATTGGGCATCCAGTGCCGCCTCCAATTCCATACACATACTGATTACTTTTAGAAGAGTTTTCAGCGAAATATATCCCAGCTCCAAACATCCCACCTATGTAGGCATGTCTCTCATCAAAGCCTTTATGTATAATTGCGTTCACAAATGGGGAGCCTAAAGGAAAGTTAAGATGAAGTACAACAAGAGTGGTCAGAAAAAATTTCTGGCTTATACAAGTCTGTCATCAGTTTAGGTTTGCTGTTAGCTTCTTCATCCTTGGGAGCTACTGCTATGGTAAATGTATTAATAATGGGAAAGAAACTGCCAGGAACATGATCCCTGACAACTGACTCTCAGAAAAGATACCATGTTTTACAAATGTTTACATAGTTATAGAAAATTAGGGTTGGGAGAGACCTCAGTGGGTCATCTAGACCAATCGCTGGGCAAAAAAAAAAAGAAGCAAGAATGATACATCTATATTATCCCAGCCAAGGCTTTGTCTAGCCGGGCCTTAAAAACCTCCAAGGATGGAGATCCACAACCTCTCTGGGTTACCTGTTCCAGTGCTTCACCATCCTCCAACTGGAAAAGTTTCCTTAATATCTAACCTATACCTCCCTTGTTGCAACTTGAGACCATTGCTCATTGATCTGTCATCTGCCACCACTGAGAACAGTCTTGCTCCATCCTCTTGGAACCACCCTTCAGGTAATCAAAGGCTGCTATTGAATTGCCTCTCAGTCTTCTCTCCTTCAGACTAAATAAGCCTAGTTCCCTCAGTCTCTCCTCAAGGTTAAGTATAGACAGTCAAAAACCCTGAGGCTGAACTGATTCAATCTTTGCAGGTTAGTCTAAACTGTACAGATTAAACCAATAACCAAGTGAACAGATATATAACCACATGCCTGCAATGGCCCAGGCCAGAAGCCAGGGGGTGTTAGAGCACACCTCCTTGCTTAGCTGGAACAGAGGTTTGGGCCAAAGCCAGCTTGTCTGCCCTGCAACTGGGGATGTGTTGGGGGGGGGGGAGTTGCAGGGGAGGTGAAAAGTATCCTGGGATGTTGTGAGTTAAACTTGAATCTGAAGGGGATCTGGGACAGCAGCTCAAAACTGATTTAGGTTAAATCAGTTTAAAGTCTGATACAGTATCCATCCAGATTCATCTTAAACTGGTTTCAGACATTTTGAAAGCACTTTATGTCCACCGAACTTTTGAAATGGTTTCTGATCACTTATACTGGTTTATGTGTACTTTTTGTCCCTAGCCCATAAATTGTGTGCCCCAGCCCCTAACCATTTTTGTTGTTTTCTGCTGGACTCTCACCAATTTGTCCACATCCCTTCTCCAGTGGGGAGCCCAAAACTGGACACAGTACTCCAGATGTGGCCTCACCAGTGCTGAATAGAGGGGAATAATTACTTCCCTTCATCTGCTGGCAATGCTTGTACTAATGCAGTCCAGTATGCCACTAGCTTTCTTTGCAAAAAAGGTACACTGTTGGCACATATTTAGCTCATTGTCTACTGTAACCCTCAGGTCCTTTTCTCCAGAGCTGCTGCTTAGCCAGTTGGTCCCCAACCTGTACTAGTGCATAGGATTGTTCTGTTGTAAGTGCAGGACTTAGCACGTGTCTTTAGTGAACCTCATGACATTTCTTCTGGCCCAATCCTCCAATTTGTCATGGTCTCTCTGAATCCTAGCCCTATCCTCCAGTGTATCTACTACTCCCCACAGCTTGGTGTCATCTGCAAAACTTGCTGAGGGTGCACTCCATCCCATCTTCCAAGTCACTGTTGAAGATACTGACCAAAACTGGCCTCATGACAAACTCCTGAGCACTCCACTTGATACCAGCTGCCAACTAGACATTGAAAAATTGATTACTACCCTTTAAGTCCTACAATCCAGCCAGTTTTCTATGCACCTTACCAGTCTATTCATCCAAATGATTTTTCCTTAGCCTGCTTGCAAGAATGTTGTGGAAGACTGTTTCAAAAGCCATGCTAAAGTCAACATTTCGGATCATTGTAAAAATAGCTAGCCTTAAAAGAAATGTTTACACACACACACACACACACACACACACACACACACACACACACACACACACACACAGAGAAAATATTAAAATTAGAGATGTTTAGGATCAACTAACTGTCTTGATGTATATGCATGATGCAGAACTAAGGTTAGGCATGCAGTCTTAACTCACATTTTGAATTTTGATTAGTCCAAGAGACTCTCCTAACCTATTTTTTTACTTAAAAAATTCCATGTTAAAATAGCACTGAACTATTTTACTTCAAGTAATTTACAAACTCTGCAGCAAGGAGCTGTTCAGTTTTTACTTTAGTGAATGCAAGTAAGTTTTTCATGATACAGCTAACATAGCCACTTAGTGAAGCAGAATAAACTGTCCTTTTTCCATGTCTAGGAGATTGTTTTCAGTAGATTAAAACTATCAAGACAAAACCAAATCTTTACTGAAATTGAAGAAAGCACATCTGGAAAAAAAGCTGGCTTGCCAAAGGTAAGTGTACTCTGTGCCTCCAATAATCTTGCTATCTGACAATAATAGCAAGAATTTAACCAGTTACAGAAGTATTATTTTGTCCTCTTCGCATCCACTTCAGACTTTGAACTGCTTTTGCTGTAACTTTAAAGTCATCTCTGGGTACACACAAAGCTACATGATGAAGGGATCCAAAATGTACAAAAGATACTGAAAAAAGTAGTTTCAGTTATAGTGATGAATTAAGAACTGGTAACAGAGTTGCAACATTTAGGAGCACACTAGCTTTAATTTACTTTATTATTGATGATTGAAAGACAAGAAAGAAAAGCATTCTCCTCAAGCATAACGGCACTGAAAATGGAAGAAAATTTGAAAATCAAAGACCTTACCATGAAACAACATCCTTTCATTAGCATGGTTATGGTTTTCTTCAGAAACTTCTTTTCTCCTATGAGTATATCTTTCCCATAGTTTTTTGTTGCACACTTTTTGAATCTGAAACAAATTTGAATCTAAATTCCATTTTTTCAGACAACATCTATTATTTGCTTTATCACTTGACTGACATTTGGATATACAGTAGTTTTACCAGAACAGAACCATCTCAAATGGTCACTTACACAAGTGATGTTTAATTAAGTTTTAAGAAAAGAAAGAGAATGAGGAGGATCTAGTTCTTCTAGGTTGACAGAATAAATTTAACTTCCACCATATAAAGCTAGGGTTGAAAGCCATTATATTCTAAATCTCTGACGATCTTTTACCTTTTTTGAATTTAATCAGTCCTAGTAACAGTTTGATTTTTACTGGAAAGTTAAAAGATGAATGCAATCCCTTTATTCCTGTTCACTTAAGTTCTGCTAAAATAACATTTTTCATCAAAAAAAACTTTATTCCCCTGCTTCAAATTTTTAATAGACTCATGTCTTCCATATTACACCTTATGATCTTTTCCAAGACCATGCAAAAATCCACCTCTCCCAATCCAAGTTTCTTGGCGGGAGGGGGTATGATTTTTTCAAAAAAGGTCTGGGCGTTTTCATTTATGTTAAAAAGTATAAAGGAAAACTATGATTAAAATAGTAATTTAAATTTTATTTTAAGTAAAACTTGCAATCATGATAATCTGTATAGCAGGGCTTAATTTACTATAATCCATTAGTATTGAAATTAGATAAATAGTTGTTATATGAATAAGCTCTCTTTGCATTTTAGCAAATTGAAGAGTGCTTCTTTTTAAATTATATAGTGAATCAAGAGGAAAAATATGTAACTTTCAATGTCAATTCATATTTTATAAATAGGTGGCAATATTACATACTTCTTTAATTATCTATATTATTTTTAGTTTTTAATGTGGGGAAAATGTAAATACTGACATTTACTCAAATATATACATGCAGAAAAGCTTTTAACCTGTTTTCAGTTTAGCTAGTCCATCATATCTTCATCAGGAGTACTTCATTTAAAATTGAGAAACCAATGGAATCGAAAGAGCACAAATGGGAAATTTCTTGCCTGATAATTTTCTTACTATTAACAATATCTCCCATAAGTGAGAAATACAAGCTATAAGCCATCTTGTCTACAGTTTCTGGGGCTATTCAGTGATTTAACAGTCCCCACTGTTTATATCTCCTTTTTAGGCTTGTTGTCAGATTAAGTCAAAGGTCAGGTAGAAACTGTCAGAATAAAACATAGTAACAAAAACTTCAATGCCAATGAATAATCTATACACCCAAGCTTACTAGCCTATATAATAAATATATAAAAGTTAAAATTTTTCCCTTTGGCTAAAATCCTTTCTAGAGAGGGTAGAATTACAGAAGATACTACTAGCAGGAAGGAAATTATCAAATGAGAAATTTTCTATTCAACAATCCAGTGCGCTCACAATTTTGATACATATGAGAAATAGCAAGTAATAAACAAAGTGGAAAGGGACAAATATGTAAGGAGCACCTCCCCTGAAATAGGGAGCATCTCCCGCAAATAGGCAAGCTGCTTTTGGATCATTGAATACAGCAAGAATCTCAGCTGCAAGGAGACCCCTTATAATTTTAAGTAAGGTGTTGCTGTCGTGAAAATCTCCTCAGGGCCTGCAAAGGCTGTTTTTACCTGTATAAATCAGTTACTCTCAGCCAAAAGTTCCAGAGCACATTCATCATTAAGAACTTCAGAGATCTGAATAGTACCTTTAGGATGTTGTATCTGTTGAAGACTCCACCAGCATGCCCACCATCTCTGTGCTCTCGGACTGTGCTCTGCATCTGAAGATTGAGACATTTAAGGCTATATATGCTGAACAAACAAATACTCCAATATTGGCCTGTGGCATGAGTGTCACAAATGGCATAAGCAACTTGTGTGTGTGTGGCATGCAATAGATCAGGGAAAGGATAAACAGCACAGCAGCAGATAAGGCAGGAAGCAGAAAGTAAAGCAGCAGATCAGGCAGGGAGCAGAGGGCTGGGAACAGAAAACAAGGCAACAGATTGGGAATGGAAAGGGTATCAGAGTGGCACCTGGGAAGGGTGAGAGGCTAATGTGGCACACCTGCCAAAAAAGGTTGGCCCCACTGCTTTAAACCATTCTGAAATCAAAGCAGTTGGATCTGTAAAAATAAAGGTTCATATGGAAAACTACATATTGTCATTAGCTAAAGTTAGCACTGGATCCATGAAGAACAGGTTTTGTGATATTTCTACAGAAGCTAATAGAACTTGAATACTTTGCTTGAATATAATACGACCCTGAATACAAGACAACCCCTAATAATCAGATTCTACACGTGGAAAGTTTGTTATAATTTTCCAGGAATAGAATCGAATTATTAAAGGTTTGACTTGAATTTATTCCTTTCCCACTGCTACAGCAGGGAAAATAAATCTGGCGGGGGGGTCAGGTAGCCCCTATGCTCTCTGCCTTCCCCCAGCAGCTTCTTTCCCTCCCACCCTTATTGTTAGACCCTACTCTCCTCAAGCACATGGAAGTGAGGAGCAAATTTGAAAACACTGACATTAAAACAAACATAGCTGTAGTAATTTGCACAGAGTACCCCATAGACTTTCACAGTTGTTAGGGTTGGAAGGGACCTCAATAGATCATTCCCCACCCCCACCCCGGGCAGGAAAGAGCGCTGGTTCACTTATGAATCAATTCTGGATGAACTGTTACATTTTTGGAAATTTTTGCAAGGTTTGGCACAGGTACTCCCATAAATACATTTTCAAGCAGCACTTTGTACAAACGATGCATGATAAAGCCAAAAGGCTCATGATTTACTATATAGTTCATGGGTTGGGGCCCAGAGTCAACAGCATTTCAAGACATGATGACCCCATAGCTCAGCACTACTCAGTATGTGTGTGTACTCCACATACCCCCAACAAAGGATCCATGTGCTAATTAGCCCCCAGCTCATGACTGGAACTGTATATTCTAGTCATGAGTCCTGGAATCCTCTAAAAATTTGTATGCAGATGAGGTGCAGGCAGCCTGGTCTGGCTCCACCTCATGGAGGATGGGACTATGCTAATCATGTGAGCCAGGCTGAGAGATGGGGTGAAAGAGGGATTCTGGGTGAATGTTTGGAATCCTGTTGGGTGATGTTTTCCCAGACATTTAAGGCTGGGGAAGAAACAGGAATTATTGGAAATGAGAAAGAAAGGCACAGCTCAGCTGTGGGAATAAAGAAGAAATAGACACGTATGCAATGTAGTGGCTCACTATGACTAAAAAGAATCAGTGCTGAGGGAAATTGCACTCAATGGGCACTACCATATAGCCTATCCAGATAGACTGCATCCTGTGAGTCTCCAAATGCAAGGCTCTCAGCTACACAATTTAGGGTGACAGGGGATTGGTCTTGGTCAGGGTTGGGCAATTATTTTGGTTTGAGGGCTGCTGAATGAGTTTTGGTGAGCTACCAAGAGCCAGAAAGGTGGCCCCACCCCCTGGCAAGTGCCCTACTCCTTGGTCACCATCTTGGGACTGGAAGTCCCACCCCCTAAACCCTGACCTTTGCTGCCAGAAGTCCCGTCCCTTGCCCCTGGAAGTACTCCTTTTGGTAATGGCATTTGCAATCTTGGAACAGGAAAAAAAACCCCCAAATCATATACTAAAATTCAAACATCCACAATAACGTATTTTAATTTCATTTTAAAAAATGTATTAAAAAATATATATATATTTGCCCTGATTTGTGTTTGTGTTGTGTACATAGAGATGACTGCATAATAGCTCAAAATGAAATCTTACTCTTGTATATGGGGGGGTATGGGGTTTTTGGGGGGCATGTGTGGATGTGGGTATGGGGGTTTGTGGGGAGCTGTGCGGTGTGTGTGTGTGTAGCAGTGAATGGGGCTCCCCCCAGAGGTGCGCAGTGGTTTTGGGGTGTGGGGGTGTGGTTGTGGGAGAGTGTTTGAGGGCATGGTGGGGTGTGCTCCTTTGGCTTTTTGCTCAGGGGCAAGTGAGACAAGGGGGCATCTAAACTCCAAGGCCTCTGGCCTTAGGGCTTGCACGTAGGATATCGGCCATGAATTTGGAATTATCTGAAGCCTCAGGCTGAAGAGTCTAGGAGGTAAGAAGCTCTTTGAATCAACTTTAGATAAAAGTTCTAAAAGCCCTGCTGAAGCACCTGATCTATACAGACACTGGGTTTTTTCATGTCTGTCAGCAGCCAAAATTAAAAAAAAAAAAAAAAAAGTGTTGTTTCCCATTAGCATGTCTGCACAATACAGGGCATGCATTTTATAGTCATGCTCAGGATTGGCAGCAGTTAATCAACTGCATACATGGTTTCCATTACTGAGCACATGCTGCTTTTGGCAGCATTTTAGTGATTGACAAACGTATCTAATCAGGTTTCCTTGTACGCAAAAGAAAGACAAGAGGCTTTCCCCTCCCCTCCCCGTGCTGATTTGGGGGAAAAAACCTCATCTTATAATTTATTAAATATGGTAGTTCTCAATTTACATTAGTTTGCCACTCTTCAACTGATTGTGTTTACTTAAGAATTCTGTACTGTGAAATATTTCAACCGCCGAGGAGAGAATACAGAGGAAGTAATAAATTATTAGAATCTAGCTCTGGAATACAGGAAAATGGCTACAGTGACCATTTCTCTGTTGAAGAAATAACCTCTCCAGTTGAAGGCAAGCTAAGTTAACTAGTGGTGACATATGTAGGAAAGGCAAATGAGTTATAACAATGGACAGTGGAACAGCACAGATAAGAAGGAAAACAGAAGTGTCTTGATGCAAGTTTTAAATCATTATGCTTGCTAACTTATCAGTGTATTACTACATAGTTCAGGAACAATCTGTATATCCAATTCTTTTGTCACTGGCACTTCATGGAGAGACTAGGGAGCAGCACATACCTCCTCCTCCACTGACTGAAATTCCTTATCTTCAGGAGAGAGATCTATGAGAATTGTTCCACTCCCAGAAGTATTCAAAGTGAGATATGGGTTAAGACCTATGAATACCATGAACATAAGAGTTTCAGATATGGATTTAAGAGAACAAAATTAAAAACACAAACAGCTCAGTACTGAAACACCATTTACAGATAGAGGCAAGGGGGAAAAAAACCTCTACTTGTTGTTTAAAACTTTCAATTTAAAATTAAGATGAGACTTAAGTCCCATTTCTGCTGCTCTTCTAGCACCTTAAGCACCTTATATTTTAGTGTTTTTAAAAAAATCAAGTTTGCAAGATATCTTTAGAAGAGCAGAATTACAAAAGGCTCAGCCCTGGGTCTCAGCTCCCTAGCTGAAGACAGGCAGAACTTTCAGTTTCTAAATGCTTTGGTCCCCAAGACATTCAGAGATGGCCAGCTGCATAAGCCAACTTCTCTCACCAACCCAAGGGCTTATGGCACCTCCTTGGACCTCTAAGTCCTCTAGTCAATTTAGTGATGATCAGAATGCAGATTTACTAAGCCTCACAGCAATATGCTCAAAATATACTGCATTGCTTCATGCACATTACTACTTCAAACTGGAAACAGGGTAGCACATGCCCAAGCCTGAATGGACACTGTTGGCACAGGATCCAGTTGGGAGTAGAATGCACAGAGACTCAAAGTAGCACCTCAAGTTTTCCTGTTTCCTTTGCTTTGTCTGAACTCTTGCTAGCAGGAAAAAACTAGTATACATATACATTTGAGCATCTCTGCAGTAAAAAAGACGTGTCTTGCTAAATATGGCTCATTCTGGATGACATGAGTAGTTTTTCTGGCTCAGACCATGAATTTTCCTGCATCAGATGGGCAGGAGTACACAAAAATGCCTAGAACATAATGATTCAATCATCTAATGCCAAATCGCATATGTCCAACTTGTGTATGTTGTAGAAACTACACACCACAGTCCTGGGCATGATAGCATCTTCTGCCCATAGGCATATCTTTGTGCACTGCTGAAACACCCTGAGGCAGAAGGGCTATGGATGATGTATTCCTGATAGGGCTGCCACGCTGTTCTTGGCAGATACCTGGACTATTTGAGACAGTACTACTGAAATCCAGTCACTGTGATAACCATTGCAACCAGATCCTCTGTGTAAAAGGTACCACAAACCTCTGGTATTAAAGCTGAAGGAAACATACACAGGAGTAATTGACTCTTGAATTGCAAGCTCTGACCTCTGCACAGGAACATACTTGCCACACTGAAATAATTGGGTCATCTATCTCATCCACCACTTTGGTACGCAAGCATTTCACCTCAGCACTTGGGGCAGAGTAGGAATGAAGCTGGCACTGACAAAAATGTAAAAGCAGTCCTCAACCCCAGGAGGCCAGAGCCTGATGCTAATTCGCCAAAGACAATTTTCTGTTGGAAAGCTCTGAATTTGCAAATAAAGACAGTGGGATTTAATACAGAGGCTGTTGCCAGTTCTTTATCAGGAATTACATGCGAGTTGGAATGGGGCTGTAAAAATAGAGCCAGATGCATGCTAGGTGGCTTTGTAAAATGGCCTGCCCAGGATATACTAGCAGGTGGCTACAGATGGATACCGAGGGTCTTGGTAGCAAGCTGCAGCTCAACACAGCGTATTCCACCAGTACTTTTAAAACATGCAGGTTTGTGGGAGAAAGAGTCAGTTAATACTTTTCAAAGTACCTGCACTCTGCTGAAAGCCTTGCACTCACTGGTCTGAGGTTGGAACCCAAATAGCTATGTAAAAGGTTTAGAAACAAGAAGCTTTGACTTAAGGAAAGCTTCAAAATAAAACTCCAAAAGAAAGTTTATGAAACAGTGGCTATATTGTATCTAGGGAAGGGTGCCAGAATACTAGTATGAATGTGTGCAAGCACCAGAACCCTAGGGACTAGAAACCAGAGCTTAATCACTAAAATAAATAAGGCTTTGAAGCACTGCACTGAAATACTGAGGTAAGGTAGCGAGCACTTATAGATGGAAATAAAGGCCGCAGCTGGAGTATTGTGTCCAGTTCTGTGCGCCCCATTTCAGGAGGGATGTGGACAACATGGAGAGGGTCCAGAGGAGGGCCACCTGCATGATCCAGGGACAACAGGGCAGACCCTACAGGGAGAGACTGCGGGACCTGAACCTATTCAGCCTCCACAAGAGAAGGCTGAGGGGGGACCTGGTGACCGTCTATAAACTCACTAGGGGGAACCAGAAGGGTTTGGGGGAGACGCTGTTTCCCCTAGCCCCCGCTGGCATAACAAGGAGTAATGGGCACAAGTTGATGGAGAGGAGGTACAGATTGGACATCCGAAAAAACTACTTCACAGTTAGGGCGGCTAGGAGCTGGAACCAACTTCCAAGGGAGGTGGTGCTGGCCCCTACCCTGGGGATCTTTAAGAAGAGGCTGGATACCTACCTGGCTGGACTCATTTGAGTCCCGTTTTTTGTTTAGGGTTCTTTTGTTGTTCTCCCGCCCTGGCGGGGGGTCGGGCTAGAAGATCTATTAGGTCCCTTCCGACCCTAAAACTATGGAACTATGAAACTATGAAAGGCCTTTTAAGGCAAGAGAGTAAGGGCATTTTGACATGCATTTCTGACATGGTGCTGGGTGCTTTTCATTAGCAAGCCATGCTAATTAAAAGCACCTGGCACTGCATCGGGAATACATGCATCAGAGGCGCAGTGCGCCTCCACGCTGAGAAAATGGCAGTGGTGCACTTTGAACTAAAGCGCATCGAATGTGTTTTAGCTCCAAGTGCACCACCACCATTTTCTCAGTGAAGAGGTGCACTGATACACGTATGTGATGTGTGAGGCTGCCAGAGTGCGTCAATTTATGTTCTCCAGCAGACTCGATTAATTGAGTCTGCTCCAAAATGCTGGATTTCCAGTCCGTCAGAGCAGGCTCTCTGCATGTGTGCAAGTGCTCTAAAAGTCCTCAAAATCTTCAGAGCTAGGGAAACTATCCGAACTAGGCTTCGGAATGGCCATTGATGCTTTCTGACCGCAGATTTTTATACAGTCAAAATCAAACCTAACTGGAAGACAAGAATACCATATCAAAACCTGCAGAAGGTTAAAGCTCAAACTGGATACTGGGCTAGATTGGCAAATGAAGAGTTACAGCTCCTGCCTAGGACGCTGCATGCAAGTTTTAAAAAATAAGTTATTGAAGGTCCAGGTAAATACATTACATTACTACTACAGCTCTTAAAGGCAAGAAGTCATTTAGTGCTTGAGAAGTTGCACCTCTCTCATTGCTAGGGAGCCCAGACTTCAGAGTGAAAATTCACAGATGGTGTCTTTAGAGAAATAAATCCTAGCAATTCTAACTAATTTATTCTATTGCTATGAAACCCAGCAAGACAATAGCAGCCAGTGTTTCTGCAAGACAGGAAAAAAAAATAGCATGCTCTTTTTTGTTTTCTCTGCAGTCATAGTTAAATGAAGCATGCTATTCCCAGGATTGTGCTGGCATCAATGCGGCACAAATAAAAGATTTTAGCATAAAACTCAGTACAAGCTGAAGCCACTAAACAAAGCAGCTATGTTAATTTCAGCTCCACTGGAAACATGGACTGTACTTTTTAAGAAAAAAAATTAAAACTCCAGTCATTCTTCTGAGACAATGAACACAGTGCCTCCAACAAAGTGTGAGAGCATGAACAGTAATTGTATTGAGACCCCTGGAATCTTTTATCATGAGATGCTACATCACCTATGATAGGCACTGTACACTGTTTGTACAGCACACAGTAATACAGGGGCCTTCATCCAGGACTACAGTTTAAGTGCTGTGATAATTAAAAAAAATAAAATAAATATGGTCCCAATTCCAAAAAGCTTAGAAGTCTACCAGCTGCAACAAACAGAAGTCAATACAGACTCTGCTCATGACAATGTATTAAAAAGGTACTAGGTACTAAATACAAAATATTAAAAATTGTTTTGAATTTAGTACCCTTTTATCACCAAACAATGCTCTCATGTGAACTTCAGCTGAATGAAACTTTGGTCATATATTGCCAGTGAGCACCATTTTATATTTGATTCGTATACATTCCACATTTGTTTTATAGTTGCGTTACCAACTCTTTTTTAACATGATAAAACCAAGAGTTTATAAAAAATGGCCTCTGTTAAAGCAGCTGCATTTTATCTTGAATCAGTGAAAACATACCTTGCTGTCCAGAAATCAATCTTTCAACACCTTTGATTATTTTATGTCTATGACCATAAGCATTGATTCCAATTTCCTTTAATTCTTTGTGTCCCATTTCAACCAATACATCCAATGTTATCTAGAGCAAAGAACAATATAATTAGTTTAGACTGCTGCATACATTTTAATGAACACTTAGTAGTTTCACTAAATACAAATATTTCAAAAGAGAATTAACAGCATAAACTACTCAAGTGGCATAATGTTAAATCTAAAACAGAGAGATGTGCAGATACATTAGCAAGCCAATTAGAAAAACAAAAATATAAGGGGTTTTAACATAAATGTATTAAATTAAAATCAGAAGTCACAGAAATGTAGGGCTGGAAGTGACCTTGGTAGGCTGTCTAGTCCTTCCCTTGCTCTGAGCCAGGACCAATTATACCTAAAGCTATTTGTAACAAGATCTTTGTCTCATCCATTATTGGAATAGAATGGATATCACACAACTTCCCCAGGTACCAGTTTTAGTGTGCAATTATTCTTATACTTACTAATTCAACTTTCTTTTGTTGTAAATTAAAGCAATTAATTATCTTTCTATCATCAGGAGAACTATTTACTATCCCCTTTATAATGAACTGTAACATATTTTATGAATGGTTTCCCCCTTCCTAAACTAAACCAACCTAATTCATTCAACTTCTCACATGTTTTTTAAACTCTTATGACTTTTGCCTTGTTTTTTAAACTCTTATGACTTTTGTTTGGTCCCTCTAGACTTTCTTCATTTTGCCCAATTTTTTCCCAGAGCATGGTGTTCAAAGCAAGACAGCGTGCTCCAGCTAGGGTCTCTCACAGCTGAGCAGGGAAGCATTACCGAGGACAAGCTTGTTAAAACAGAATGACATTGCCTTTTTGGCAACAAGTAACACTGGTTGCATTCTGAATGTTTTAATGACACTTCTCCCTGGCTTTGCTTCTCTGATTTTCCCTAAAAAGCTATTTATGCTATTTGAAAGCAAAAAAACAACAAGGATCAAGATAGCCAATACAGTGCTAGGAATCATTAGGAAAGGAACTGAAAACTAAACGGGAATCATCACCATGTTATTTATATAAAAGTTGTTGTGCATTCACATCTTAAGTACTGTAATTACTCAATTCCAAGATGAGGTGTGTCCCTTTTCCATGCCCAATTCAACATGGGGGGAAGAACCATTGTCCTGGATTCAAGTGCCTCCTGCTCTCCTGCCACCTCTCCCTGCCCAGCTGCTTACCCTCAATTGTGAGTTCGGCTCAGGGCACAGAGCACATGGTAACTCTGGTACTGGTCAAGCCATGCAGTAGTGGCAATGACAAGCAGCTCTGGCAACCCAGGGCCAGAGCTCCTGCTGCTGCAAACTCTAGTGCATGTCCTGGCTGGAGCCTGAGCTACCACATGCCCTGCATCCCAGATCAGAATGGGACCAGAACTATGACGGCTGTAAGTGGCTGTGGGGGGTGAGGCTGCAAGGGATGAGGGGCACAGGACCAGGAGCTGCAGGGCAGGCAGGCAGCAGGGGGTGCAGATGGTGGGGTGGGTGGGGGCACAGGATAGGATTCAGGCCAGCAATGCCCTCATTCCCGCAAGCCATTACTTTCCCTGCTGTAGCAGTGGAGAGGATGGGGGAAAAATTTAAGACGACCCCCCCAAATAGTTAAGATTCTATTCATGGAAAATTATAACAAAATTTATAAACTGTCCATGTGTAGAATCTAATTATTTGGCGGTTGTCTTAACTTTGAAGTTGTCTTGGATTCAGGTAAATGTGGTTCTGATCGCTCCATCTCAAAAGGATATAAACCTAGAAAAGTTCACAGAACGACAAGAAACAAGGTGTTTTTGGTGGGATCTTTACTGAACCAACTATCCAGTTGGAAAACATGTTAGACAAATTTTTGAGTACTGAAAAACAAAACCAAAAGGCTTGCTTCCCACATATTTCGTGGGCTATCACAGTTACAGCAACACTCCAATCCTACTACAGAGTAAGGTAACAAAGATAATTGTATGAAATGGCTTCCATGCAAGAAAAGAATGAAAGGACTAAGACTTTTTAGCTTGGAATAAAGACCGAGGCAGGATATAGTAGAGGTTTACAGAAATCACAAATGATGCAGAAAAACTGAATAGAAAACAACTGCTAAGTCTCATAAAACAAAAACTAGGGGGAGCTTGGTGAAATTATCAGAGAGGAGGTTTCAAACAAACAAGAGGAAGTACTTTTTTTACTTGTGTATAAAAAAGCAAATGTGTAATTAACTTGTGGAACTCACTGTCACAGGCAATTGTGGAGGCTCAGGCCAATAGCCTAACTGGATTCAAAAAGAGATTAGACAAATTTATGAAGAATAGGTCCGTCAGGGACTAATTAAAAAAAGACAGTCAGGCTTAGGACACTCCTAAACCTTTGACTGATGGTAACTTGGAAGGGTAAGAGAGGGGATGGATTGTTTTGTGTGTTATGTTCTTATATTCTTCCTCTAAAGTAGGGGTGGCCAACCTGCAGCACATGTGCCACAAGTGGATGGACAGCTTGTGTGTGGGACACATGGCAGATCAGGGAAGAGCTGAATGCAGAGCAGCAGATTGGGCAAGGAGCAGGAAGCAGTGTGATGGATCAGGCAGGGCAAGGGGATCAGAGTGGTACTTGGTGAGGGCACAGGGCCTAATCTGTGACACCTGCCAAAAAGTTGGCCCCACTGCTATAAAACAGTGATTCTAAGCCAGGGTGATGGGGCACTCTAGGGTGTTGCAAGATCCTCTGAAGGCCGCCCCAAGGTGTGAGGAAATAAATCAGAGGAAAAAAAAAGTGGAGGCTCAGGCTTGTCCCTGCCTGGCCAATTCCGTCCCCCAATGACCAGCCCCTCTGCAAGGAGGTAAGCACTGTAATATATACATTAGTTTTTTTAATTGGGTGCCACCCAATTCACAAAAGCTATGGAGGGGCTGTCTTGAATCCAAAACAGTTGAGAACCACTGCTCTAAGGCATTTGATCACGGTCAGTGACAGCAGACAGGGCTAGATGAATTTTTGGCCTGACCCAGTAAGTACGACAGCATTAATGCTACGATCCCTAGCAAAGTCCTGTCATTCCTCCTTTTTAGGCTGAAAAGTGGTGCACAGAAATACTACTTACCTGCTCTCTTTCAAATATGTCAATCAGATGTTCAAGTCCAAGATTCCTCACAAATTGATTTATACTAAAATCTACACCTGGAACTGAACATAACAGTTTATAAGTTACATTCATAACTGTACTTTCTACAATGCTGCACGTTATACTGTTGCTATAAGGGGAAATACAAGAATTCTTAAAAAGTGAACAAGCAAACAAACTTGCGAACTTTAAAAATAAATAGTCAAATTCCTAATGTGACAATTATTGTTTCTCATGATATCCAACCAGAATGTGCTAGGCTCTTTGAAAAAAAAAAAAAAAAAAGAGGCAACTCTTCAGCAACCAATATCGTATTTCTATGCAGTGAACAAAAGCTACATAAGCAACCTTCTCAAGACTGCCAATTTAAAATCAATTGTTTAGAATCCAGGAATTAATTGTTTACAAAAAGTCTATACTAATAAAAGTATTGACAAACTTGGTTTCTAGCAAAAAAAAAAAAAAAATCTTATTTACCTGTAAGAAGGTTGCTAAAAGGGGTGGGGAGTGGGGGTGGGAATTGAAGACGTTTTAAAGGTCTCCAAAAATATGGAACTTTTAGGACCTCACTCATCAGGTTAAACTTGGAAAAAAACACAGAACGGATGGGGATATAAATACAGAACTAGAAATTCTGTTAACAATTAAGGAATACCTAGAAAACCCACTCTAATTAGATAAAAACACTGAAAATCTTCTCAATGAATGATGAACGAATGAAGCCCGTTTCCACTGAATACCTTCAACGATTTAAGAGGCAATAATTCATATCTTAGAAAACCTCACCTTCTTTTTTTTCTAACACTGTAGCCCCTTCCGCACCATTTGTAGCAACAACGGATGGGAGTTCAGAAAAGCTACCAGACAAGTTGTCAAGGCTACTAGCAGCTGACAAATTGGATGGGCTGGATGGAACGGAAGACAAGGATTCAGCTGTGGGTCCAGTAGTCTGAGATACATTTATAACCTGAGGTTTGTAACAAGATGGCAATGCAGAAAGAGGCATGGCTGCTGTCAACAGTGCGCTAACATCGTCTGCCTAAATATCAAGAGACAGTTCATTAAAATGAAGAAAAACTTTCTATTCAAAGATTTTCCTAGGAAAAAAGCTAATGCTGAAAGCAATTAAGTCCAAGCATCCTACTAAGTATCACATATGGAATGGAAACATTTCAACTAATTTGCAAGTGAGTTTTTATAGAAATATTTTTCTATTTTAAAAAGCTCTAAACAAAAGTCTAGCATACACCAAGATGTAATCCTTTTTGCTATTTCTAAAAACTTGCATAGGGTTACACACAAGAGACAACAAAACTCATTACTCATTTACTTAAGGTGCAGCATTTGATTGCATTATAATAACATCTTAAACAGCCACATCAAGTATTATAAAATGGGAAGGATATTATAACTTTTATAAAATTTGTTTAAATTTTACTGCTAAAGCAATTTTCATGGTCTAGTGTCAGGCAAAATAACTATCGTAAGCAAGACGTAGACGTACTAAGTGTAAATTCTGGAACAAAATTAACCATTGATTTTCTTTCTTCATTCTGCAATTACAAGAATTTTATAGCAGTCTTTAGCTACAGAACAGAAAAAGTAGATAAATGAAAGTGTATTAGGCCTTTGGAACCAAGCCTGTATAAACACTAGAGTATCCCAAGTGTTCACATATTGCACAGAAGCTCACTTTTTAAAATTTGGTGCCAGGAAAAAGGCTGAGCAGCCATTAACAGCAGCTAACCACAGATCTCCCCGAAGATCCCATCACTTACAGTGACCAGGTCTAAAGGTGTTTGTCCTTCTTGGTTTTTCAGAGTAGGATCAGCCCCATGTGCCAATAACAAGGCACAAAGTTGTGTCCTTCCTTTCTGGGCTGCTTCATGCAAAGGTGTGAAAGCCCATTTGTCTGTAGCATTCACACAGGCATTATACTTTATAAGTAAAGCTGCTACATCTACATGCTGGAAAATAAAATATCCTGTTACCTTCTGGAATGCTAATTTAATATCTTGTATCCCTCAGAATTATTACACACACTTTTGTGTAACTTTTCATCTGATTTTCCTAGAACTGATCTGAATTGTAATATGAAAAAGTAAACTCTCACAAAACAGAAGAGCTTAGTCCTAATGTACCAATGTACAATTAAGCCATTTTCTTCTGTAAACACAGAGATGGGACCAAATCATAACTCCAAATCTGAACTTACTTGAGGTGGGGGTACTTTAAATTCAGATCCCTGGCTCTAAATGGACTTCAACTATTTTGATTCCAGGCTGGTTCCAAACACGGAAGGGTCCCATTTTATATTTCTGGTTCACATATGGCTCAAATCTTACAAAGATCAGTCACACAAGTTAAAAACCTCACCAGTGAAATTCTAGCAGCATGCACACAGGAAAAACAAATTTACAAGATGTCTCCAGAACTGCTTGATTTTATAAGTTTCTGAATGACCCCTTCAAGCACAATACATTCCAACGACGTTTTCACAAATTTAAAGTCCCCACATTTGCAGTCAGCTAAGTGTGTGATCAAGTTATAATTTTTAGTTACAATGAAATTATATAAAAAGGTAAGGTTTTTTTTTTAAACAGATGGTCAAACAAACCACTTCATTCACATGAATAAAAGCAGCATCTCACTCCTGTTTTTAAAACTTCAAATTTTTTTCAAGAAGGTGAAAGGATAAAGGCACCTACCCCATATGATGCTGCATTATGTAAAGGTATCAGGCCTCCTTTATCCTGTGCATTCACATCAGCTCCATGCTGTAACAGGTACTCTGCAACCTCCAAATTGTTGTAACCAGCTAACAGGTAGTAAAGAAAGAGAGAATATAAAAGTCCTCAGAGAAACCAGTGTCATAGTTATACCAAGTTCACTTGGTTGTTTTTAACCATATTGGGGTAGCAAGCTCACCAAAAAAGTGGCCAAATCCACTTTGTTCACAGAATTCTTGGACTATTCTCAGTGCTAGTTGAAGACATTTAGTTATGGGTTAAATGAGTATTATGCCAATCCATCACATGATTTTAATACTTGAATAACTAAAACATAAGGAAAAAAACAAACAATATCTTTGAAAATCATGGTGTGAACAGCCTGCACTTAAGACTTCTGATTCTGAGTATAAAGCTTTTCCATGGCTAGGGCTGAAGCTGCTAATACCGCTGCTGCTGTCTGGCCAGGGCAGGTCAAGATGGCCCATGGGAACACAGGGGAGGGAACACAGAGGAGATCATGTGGTACAGGGGAGGGACAGGGCGTCCAGGGAAAGCCACAGAGTAGTAGGAATGGCTGACTCTAGCTCTGGCTCCAGTCTGGAACTGGAGACTCTGGTTTAGACCCAGCCAGGGGCTGGAGCCACTGCTGCTACCTGGCTGGGGCTGGGGCAAGAGCTACAGCAGGGAGAACAAGTGGATGGGTTCATGGTGCAGGCAGGGGGGCCCAAGGGATGCCTGTCAAGCTACCTGTTCCCTCACTGAAGTGGGGGAGAGGGAGGTGGGGGGTGGGGACAGACAGACACAAACAATCTTCCACATAAAATCTAATTATGGGGCAGCATGGGCATCTTAAATTCAAACTCATCTTTGATTCAGTAAATATGGTAATTTAATGGGCAAAGCAAAGGTTGTCTATTAACTTCTCACTAGGCTTTTTAATTGCCTGAAAAAACATTTAAGCATTAGATGTCTCAACCACATGCAAATTCACCCAAGTCCTTTTCTCTTCATCCCTTAATTCCTCTGGAATGGCAGCCTGTGGCAGGTTTTTGGCAGTCAGAAAGTTTGGAGTTGTGCCTGTCAGTGGGATTTACCTGTCTGTCCCCTCTCCCATGTAAAATCTAGGTTCTGGAACAATGAAAAGATAACAACAGTTCCTGTGTCTGAGCATAAGGATGGGCAACAGAAGCTCTTATCTGCCTCCTAAGATCACAGAAGCTGTCTTCACTAAGGGAAAGTTGGGCTTTACTCATTTGACTAACAGAAGTGCTGGCATCCTTTGGAAAGAACAGCCTAAATATGCTCCTTATTGTAATGTAGAGAAATAGTGACTGATTTAAGTGATGGGAGCACAGAACCTCAGTTCCACTAACATCAACGCACGATGGTGCTCATTCTAGTAAGACTCACCAGTCAACAGTTACAATACTACATTTTTTCTTTAATGAACGTGATAAAATCAGCTGCAAAATCAGCTGCATGTTTATTAGTTAAAAGCTCTAACCTGCCAAATGTAGCGGTGTTGAGTGTCGTCCTTGGGTATCACGACAATTCACATTGTCAGGTGAACACAGCTTTTTTACTCGGGCCAAACAACCCTTCTTGGCAGCATCTAGCAAAGCTGCATCTCCTCTAAGCAGGTCCTGAATATCTGTATCACCATCTTTAACAAGATCCAAAGGAGTATTTCCATCTCTGTTTTTCTTCGTTGGGTCAGCCCCATGCTGTGAACATAAAAAAAATCTGGAGGATGCTGTGTACTCAATCATTTTTCACAACTTTTTCAAAGCAGATATAAGCAAAGTAAGACTTCCTTGTTCTTATACATCTCACTCAATTCATTCCAATTCACGTTCAACCTGTGTATAGAAAAGCTATAATATGTCCAAGAGTGCAAAAGACTCAACACAGTGTTCAAAGGAAGAACGGTGCTCCTTTTAGCTGTATTTCATTTTTAAAATTTACCTGTTTAATAATTATCACTTGAAACCCTCAAAATAAAATGTAGGTTCTTAAAGGAACCCTGCCAAAATTATTCAAATTAAATGTTTAAATAATGTAAATTCCATTGTTAACCTCCCTCTCCTTAACATGCAAAGTACCTGTAATAGAAGTTTGCAGATCTCATATTTCCCTTTTGCTGCAGCTTCATGTAAGGGAGTGAACTTCCACAAGTCAGCTACGTTTACAACTGCACCATGTTTAACAAGGAGTTCTGCTACTTCATAGTGACCATAGGAGCAAGCATTGTGCAATGGGACAAGCCCACTAAAAAACATGATTAAGCAAACATTTCTTAATACATGTTACATTTAGGCTTTACATTTTCTATCAAAAGAAGCTCTAATTTGCATTTTCAATATTTGATATAAAACAAACCTCATTCTTAGGAACAATGCATACTACCATAAATATTCTACTCTACCGTTGACATAATTATCTGTAACATAATTACAGATCTCCTGAAGTTCTGAAAAGAAACAAGTAAAAATGAAAAGCAGCTATCTATATAGCTAGTGCTACTGTAAGATTAAGGTATTTATTGCATTTCACACGCATTTTCCTCAGGAATAAATACTTGTTTTTAAACTTTTAGGAAAAGCTGCTCGCTATTTCTCTTGTCAATTAAACTGACAGCATTAACAAGAACAATAATGTACTAATGCCAACAGCTAACACATACTCTTTAGATGTGAAAAGTGTGAGAAATGAGAAAAATGTTTTTTTGACTTTCCGGAACTACATGAATCACTTCTTACAAACTATATGCTAGCTATATTTTCAGGTCCTAAAAAATACTACAGAATGATATTTTCCTGTGGTATTACACACATATTCCAAAGAAACAGGAAATGCCTGAAGATTACACAGTCTGGTGGGTGGCAAACTGGCTTGGGGGTCACACCCAGAGAGTGGTGGTGGATGGATCGGTATCGACCTGGAAGGATGTGGGCAGTGGGGTCCCGCAGGGCTTGGTCCTTGGACCTGTACTCTTCAATGTCTTTGTCAGTGACTTGGATGTGGGCGTGAAGTGTACTCAGTCCAAGTTTGCAGATGATACTAAAATGTGGGGAGAAGTGAACACACCGGAGGGCAGGAAACGATTGCAGGCGGACCTGGACAGATTGGAAAAGTGGGCAGAACACGATAGTATACAGCTCAACAAGGACAAATGCAGAGTGCTGCACCTAGGGCATAAAAATATCCAGCATACCTGCTGGCTGGAAAGTGAGCCTCTCAGCAGCACAGAAGTGGAAAGGAATCTTGGAGTCACAGTGGACTTCAAGATGAACATGAGTCATCAGTGTGACGAAATCACCAGCAAAGTTAACCGCACTTTATCATGCATTAGCAGATGCATGACAAATACTGCCAACCAGATGATACTTCCCCTCTATGCGGCACTGATCAGACTGCAGTTGGAGTACTGCATCCAGTTTTGGGCACCGTACTTTAAGAAAGATGTGGATAACCTCAAGAGAGTCCACAGGAGGGTCACTTGTATGGTTAAGGGTTTGCACGCCAAGCTCTATGAGGAAAGACTAAGGGACCTGGATCTCTTTAGCCTCCGCAAAAGAATGCTGAGAGGTGATCTTGTGGTCACCTACAAATTCATTAGAGGGGTGCAGCAAGGAACTGGAGATCCTCTGTTCACCAGGGTGCCTCTTGGGGTAACAAGGAAGAATGGTCATAAACTGACAGAGAACAGATTTAGGCTGGACATTAGAAAGAACTTGTTGACAATTAGGGTGGCCAGAATTTGGAATGGGCTTCTAAGGGAGGTGGTGCTCTCCCCTACCTTGGAGGTCTTTAAGAGAGGCTAGATAGGTATCTGTCTGGGGTCATCTGACCCCAGCATTCTTTCCTGCCCAGGGCAGGGGGTCGGACTTGATGATCTGTTGAGGTCCCTTCCAACCCTAGCATCTATGAATCTAAGTACAGTAAAAGCTCTGTTATCTGGCATCCCCTGGGAATGGGGGATGCCAGACAGTCAAATATTCTGGTTAATCAAATGTGTGCTGTTTGGTGTACCCCCCGGCATCAGTGTCCCGGGGGACAGGGAAGGGGGCCCTGCGCAGGCTGCTTTTTCCTGCACACACTGCTTTGCCCTGGGCTGTGGGCTGAAAAAGTGGCAAAGAAAAACTCAGTTTGCGGCGGCGAAACGGGAAGTCCCCCAGAAGTGGTACTTCCGGTTTCACTTTTGCTGCGTCGCTTGGATGCTGGTTAATAGAGTTTTCCGGCTAATGAAGTGCCGGTTAACACAGCTTTTACTGTATACAGAATATGAACCAACTAGCAGAACTCAAAGGTTTATAACTAACAAAAAAAAAAAATCAACCACATCTGCCAAATAAACATAAAATGAGTACTCACCCTTTATCTTTTGCATGAACATCAGCTCCATGCTGAAGAAGATACTCAACTACAGACACCCTATTATATCCTGCTGCAAAGTGCAGCGGTGTGGACTGACGCCCCTCAATGTCCCTGCAGTTCACACTCTGAACTGTACATAACTTCTGTGGAGGCCAAGAACCAAAACATATATCACTATACATATAGTTGACATTCAAACATGCAAATACTAGTTATTCTGCGTATTCTTTAAAAAAACAACCCACTTTTCCCCCCCTAAAATAGAAAATTTAGCATCCCTTACTATAATACATAGATAAAGATTAATATCCCCTGACATTCAGGATAAAGTCAGGATTAATTGCCATAACCTTCATTAGGGGGATTCTGCAACTCCAAGAGCAAAGAATTAAAACAATTCCTTTCCTCTCTTTTAATCCACACCTATGGACAATACTAAGTTCTTTCCAATTAAGAACTGAAGACTTCAGAATTGGCCCACATCAAATTGTTTTTTTTATTAGATGCAGCTTTTGCGCACCATGAGGGAATCAGGTAAAAAATTATGGTTCTATGGTACTTAGACAGGAAAGCTTTTTCCTGTTTTAGAGAATATTGTCATGGTTTGACAAGATATGCCCTTGTGTAGATAGCACAAAATACAGTTGTAACCTTACTTTTACAGTGTCCACATCTCCAGCCTTTGCAGCTTCTAGTAACTGTCGATCTGCATCCGAATTACCTAATGGGATACCTTCTATAAAATAAATGAAGGTTACTTGTCTCTAATTTAAAACTTCTTCAGCAAGAATAATCACCTAAAATCAGACTAAATAGTATTTCAGGATCTGCCCTTTAACACATCTCAAAACATACCAGTCAATTTACCACACATACCTCGAAATGTAGCTGGCGGTTGTAACCTGGTACTTACAGGTTTCCAAAGCAATATTACATTTGCTTTCAGCATTATTTCTGCTATTATGAAATACTGTAGAACCAGCCAATGGCATGTTCAGTTTGAGAATGTTAGTGATCCGGATGCTTATTTATTGAACTTATTACTATTCAGGTTTTTATTCAGTGAAAAATCTGAGAACTGTGTATACCCGTTATCTGTGGTCACAAAAGTGGCCACTATTGACTTTCACTTTACAACTAATAGGTTTCTCCTCACTGTTCCTTCAACTTGACTCTAGGTGGCAGATACCACTATGTTAGAATAAACTGCCAATTACTGTAATACAATCCCGGTAGCTGACTACTGTGGGATAATACAAGGACCAGCATCAACCACAGCAACCACAGCAGCACATTACATGCAACTCTGGCTGTAAGAACGAACTCTACTAGACTTACATAAAATCTAGCCATTTTCCTTCTGCAGGTGAGCCAAGCATACAAACTGCCTCTATAATTCATCTCAGTGCTATAGCTTACTGCCTACCGATGCAAGTGAAACAAAACATTACACCATTTTAAACAAAGTACAGTAGTACCTTGTAGTAGTTGCTGCACACTCTCATTCCCCATTTGTAAAGCTGTGAAACCCTGTAGTGACACAATGGATGGATCACATCCAGAGCTCAACAACAATCTGCATGTCTGAAGATGGCCACAATGTGCAGCTCGATGTAGAGAAGTCTGACCAAGATTATCCAACGCATTAACCTAAAGAGAGCAGAGAACCTTAAGAATGTCTTTGGACAGGAATTAAGTCCACCAAAAAGGCCTTACATTCACAAATGATCACATGGAATTTTAGACCAAACATGCTGTCAACAGATCTGACCTTCAGGCCCTTAAAGAGTATCTTGGTTTTTATTAAAAAAGCAAGTTTGATCCCTGTTTCCACGCAAAAATACTCTGTAAAGCATGAAAATGTAATTTAGCCACTAATGGTAAAAGTGATACAGTTGGGCCTCTACCTCTGCTGTACACAGCTAGTAACAACTGGTGTTTATTGACAGATGAAGGGTTGGGAATCATTCCATAAAATGAAATCTGTCAAGTTGAGGTATGGTGCAGAGAATGATTTTTCTAAATATTTCCCAAAATCTTTAGTCTGGACCTATACATAGTGGTAAGAAAATAGTGGAAAGGAATCAATGGCAGAAATCAATCCTGACAAAATTTATTCCAACTCTCCAAACTACCAACTTTACTTAGTTTTAGTTCTCACTGAGTTTGGGACAGAGCCAGCTGCTATGCTGTAGCTGTGCCAGTCACTGTCACAGCACTAGTGCAGGAGGAACACTGATGATAGTCCTCCCATCCCTTCTACAACTCCAGAAGCATAAAAGGACAAGAAGTATGATCAAAGTACTGAGTGAAGAATTTCAGGTACTATCAACTGCCTGGTGAACCATTTGTTTCATCAGCTTCTAATGGGGAGCAGCCCAGACCTCTACTTCCACTGACATTATGCAATGGAAGCCTGTTTTCTGTTCGCTTCATAAATCAGCCAAGGGAGACCTGCCAACTTAAAGAGCCAAAAGGGACAAAGCCCCTGAATGACTATGCAGTCCACCATGAGACAGAGTGCCCACTCACTACTTGATCAACTCCCTACTATCATTACTGTTGCTAGATAGAACAGCATATTCTATATAAGGTGCTAGGGAAGAATAAGTGTGGGGAGTTCAGAGTGGTGAGGATAAGGGTAACTTATAGAAGCGTAGGATAATTCCCCCAGTACAAGACCTGTGGCTCTTTTTAATAAAGAACAGTTATGTTCAGAATTTAAAAAGCAGCTCTCTCCTCAACACAGAATTTAGACTAGAATAATATGCAGAATCTCTCTCTGACATTCAACCTTAAGCTACTGACAGCTCTTGAAAAGTACCTGAAGCTTCAGAAGAAAAAATGATTATTAAAAATCCAGTGATGTTAGAGGGATGTTGGACTACTGAAACGTAACTTAGAAAGCATACAAAAGTAAGTTGTTAAAATTCTCTACTGAGAAGATGCAGCTTTGCTAGATGCTGCCATTCTGATATAAAGAGATGTTCCAAATATTTTTCTTAACCTTACAAGGAGGTTACTGAATTTCAGTAACATACTGAATCTACCCAAAGGCTTCAAATTAAAGGCAGCCCCCACAATAATTAGATTCTACACATGGAAAATTATAAATCTGTTATTATTGGAGGTGATATTAAAGTTAGTCTCCCCGCCAGCTGCAGTGGTAAGGGAAAGCAGTGGCAGGGGGCTAGCAGCAGGGGAGGAGAGATGGGAGGGGCCAGGTGACCTGCCACCCTGCTCCTTGTCCCTGCTCCCCCTGGCTCCTGTGCCCTACTTCCCACCACTTACCCTATGCAGCAGCTCTGGCTTTGTCTCCAGCCCAGGGCAGGCAACAGCTGTGGTTCCAGATCTAGCCCTGGAGCAGCAGCTGCCCCAGGCTGGTACTCAAATTCAAGATGACATTCCCTTGCTTGGGGGAGGGGAAGCACGCGAAAGGGGGGGGGATACCTGATCCTGAATTTGAGTTTATACAGTATTCAACACTTGAATGAAATGGAGGAAATTTTGAAAGACTGCTCAGAAATTGCTTTTTTCCCTGAAAACTGCTTACACTGAGCAACCAGAATTCCGTTTCATAGCTATCTATGAACAAACAGTAAATTAAGAATGCTTGGTTAAGTCCCAAAAGCTGTAAATTTACCTGGCCCACAAACCAGAGCCCCAACTCTTACTTCGGCCACCTCCTGTGACTGAAGTATGATACAGTGGATCCTATTTCCATTCTTCTCCTATGCAAAAAAACTTGACCAAATTACATGTTACAGCAGGTTTGGCAGGCTGCTGCTTGTGGCCCAGCACCTGCCATGGGCTACAAGTCTCCATATTCTCCTGTAGAGAGAATAGATGGGAAAAGGTGTGCAGGAGGACCCTGGTGCCGCCTTTGCTGCAGCAGAGTGAATAAACCAAATTAGGCAGGTAGCAGTACCCTGGCGATGTCTCTTCTGCTGCCCTGGCTGCAACTCTCTGCCCATTCCCCAAGCTGCAGGGGAAGGGTGGGAGGTGGAGGAGGGCAGCTCTGATCTGCAGACCATAATTTGACAACCCCTGTTATATAACTTGTGCAGTATATTGACTTCATCTTAATTTTTGCAAAACCATTTTCAGCAATCATTTTCTCTTCATTTAAGATCCAGACCCCTTGCATGTTATTTTCACTCACTATCTCCTTCTCTCCAGTGCATTCTTCTAGAACAGATTCACTACTACTACTATTACACAATAAAAAACTAAATACTTTTTTCATGCACTGTTAATGACAGTATCAGTACTGAGTATAAACTACCTTGTATTCTATATAATGGAATGTAAAATCATGAAACCTATACAGATAATGCTGTATAAGTGTCTGTTTTATGTATATAAACATGTATATTTTAAGAAGTAACTGTATAAAACTCACAGGCTGCAGTCAAGTTCAACATTACCTATAAAATGTGTTTTAGCATAATCTTAGCAAACAAAGAAAAATAATTAGTAACTCATACCTTCGCTTCATGCTTTACAACCACTTCCACTACATCATTATGAGCCTTTTCTGATGCCACATGGAGAGGTGTCAAGAAGCTTTTAAAAACAAATTTTTGCAATTAAGTTGTATTCTAAAAAATTCCTTCTAATCATTTAAAAGCATTCATAAGAACACTCACTCTTTTGTCTTTTCATTGATGTTGGCTCCTTTTCTCAACAGTAATTCACATACTTGCTTTCTCTTGGGGTATGGAGATGCAGCTGCACAGTGCTAAATATTATAAAAACTTTTGCATTAGGAATGCTCATTACATATATTTTCTTACTTGTTCATTAAGTACAAATTAATTAATTAAGTAATTAATTAAAGCTAGATTGTGCATTGGGATCTTTATTGTGTGTCAGGATCTATTATAAGGCTGACAAGAGGCCTATTTGTTGAATGAAACTGCTACATAGGCTCAGGAATTTGTACTATTACTCCCCAATCTAGCATTAAGGCCTCAATTTCTAACTCTTAGAGGTGAAACTACTGAATTGAGAATTAGTAAACTAAAAGTTAACTCAGGAAATGAATAAATAACTGCAGGTAAAGAAGCTAGGTAACAAAAGGAATCACTTTTAAAAGAGAAAATAGGATAGAAAAGGTATAACCCTTTTTTTTAGCCAACATTGGTGTTTAGCTATCTTTAAGGAGATCTACTGCTGCCAGTTTGGGAAAAATATTTTTAAAGCAGCAGACACTGTGCTGCCATGATTTATATTGTACTAAATAACTTATATGGGCTTTTGCTGTCTTATGAACATTGAAAATATAAAAAAGCAAGCATATACTTTTTGTTAGTCACATCTATTAAATCAATCTTTTTGTATCCCAACTAGGCTGATCTGTTCAGTGGTAGAGTTATGTAATCACAAAAGCAAATGTTATTACTTTTACACTTATGTTATACCTTGCTACCATAGGACTGGTAATTCTTAACACACAAAACTAACTATGATTTTACTAAATAGAATATAAAAAATAATGAAAGATAAATATGGGCATGTATATAATAAGGTGACACACTATGGAAATCTCTAACAGAAACTGATCTCAAAGCATTTTAATGCAATTAATTTAGCCTCAATACTCATGGGCAAGTGACCATCTTTATTTTAAAGACAAGAGAAATAGAGAGAGATTAAGTGACTTGCTCCAAATTACAGTGAATAACTGTAGTGAAGGAAAAAGGACAAACATCTCCATGTTCTTCATCCTAACTTCCAAACAACCCGTACTGTAGCCCAACAATTAACCACAAGTGTTTATCTCCACCTTGTTAACAGTTCCAGAATAAAAAAAAAAAAAAATTAAAAGTGTAAGCGGGGGCAGAGGTAATCAGTAGATAAAGAGCTATTGTATATTTAATGAGCTACAAAAAAGGATGCCATGGTTGATATCAAGTCACCCTGCCCCTCCTGCTTGCCCCACCAGGACGCAGTCTAATTTTAGAGCATAGGTGAGATTCTCATTACTTGGCTGAGTCATGAAGTTTGGTACGAATGCACCGAGGACTTTAGGATCTTGCAGTTTATGTTCATTACACAGATGGAACACTGATTTGCATATCCTGAATGAGATCCTCAGTGCAAAAAAAAAAAAAATAAATCAATAGCACTATTGCCAGTGAACTGAATGGAACCAACATTTTATATACTATATTTTAATTGAGTATCAGACCACAAAATGTTTTAGGCATGAGGGCTGAATTCTTATACAACTTTTAAATAACTACCTACATTTATTTAGCCCATTTCTTACAAAAACATATAGGGAAAATAATCTAACTCCAGGCTATTAACACTTGACTAGACTTAGGAGACAAAATTAATTTCTGGCATTCAAAAAGGCACTGGAAGAAACAGGAGTTGGTCCTACATATACCATGGCTGAATGTGAATACTGTTTTCAAACAACTATAAATGCTATGATGGGCTTATGAAATTTTACATAATATTATGTCTTCTGTGCTAACCTTTTTTTCTTTTACTTACTTGCCATTTCCTCTCCTGTATCCCCAATATTTATCAGCATGCAAATGCAAGCAAGATAAGTTGTGAAAATCAAAGTCAGATTGGTAATGATCAACCCAAAATTCTATAATTAAAATAATTACTATAATTAGTAGATGAAAGGGTTTCCGAATGCATTTATATTTTACACCTAGATCAAGAACTGGCTGGGTTCTAAACAAAGTCAGGATGATTGCCCATGTCAGGAATGACACGAGGAATAGGGAATGTCTACTGTTACGCTGGAGCAGCTCCTATTGGGAACGGGTTTATCATTATTACCTCAATTCAGCAATTGCATTTGAAGAGTATATGAAATAAAAATGTGAGGCAAACTTCTAAAGTGACAGAACTACTAAAGCCACCTGAAAGGATTAGAAAGAGAGGCAAAAAGTGAAGAAAAGTTTAACTTTAAAAACATGCACACTTATACTTGATCTTAGCTAAAAGACTGATAAGTGATACAAAAACAAGAGACTGAAATGTTAAGTATTTCGTGGAAGGAAATGAGAAGATGACCAGTGAAGGAGGAAACCTAGAAAAAAAGAGGCAGACTAGATTCAAATTCACTGATATCATGGGAATGAGTTATCCTGTAAAAATTGACAGGAATAAAAATGTTAAAACAAGAACACATTTACTGTTCTGATTATTTATTTATTATATACTAGATTCCCCAGTCTCTTTTACCTGAAGGGGTCAAAAAAATCAGGGATCAACAGTTTTAAAGTATCCCTTACTTTTTCAGTCAGCCACAAAATATCTTAAATCAATGAAAAAAACCACATCTGAAATATTACCAATGCTGTCTCATGAGTTTGAGGATGCTTGAAGTTCACTGTCTCCAAAGACAGATGCTTTTTGATACGAGCTACATCTGATTCTCGTGCAGCCTGTAGCAGCGAGTGACCTTTGAATTCATCTAGAAAAGAAGATTTTTTTTATATATTGGTGTGAAAGGAATCAAGAGAACTGGTAGCATCCAGAATGGGAAATACTTGTTTCAGATACTGGGAGAGAACTTAGAAAAGTACTTGTAAGTTAACTGAATGACTAAGTTCATTAAATGGATACAGCACAGCAATTTTAAGTATTCCAGAAAAATCACTGCTTGTTCACTCAGACCTTTGACAGATGTTACACTTAAGACATGACTGACTAGTAAATCATGTCTTGAATTTGCATGGGCTATTACTCATGTACAAGAAATTAATGGTATGATAAAACAGGAAATAAGCCACAAAGTTATTGCACAAAATGTATAACAACTAGGCTGGTTCTCATCAATCCTTATACTGAGCATGTGGCTACTCCCAAACTTAGAAGCACACTGGAGCCCTTCAAGACTCTGGTGTGCTATTGCAGCTGGGAGCAAACAGCTCACTGACACTCCAAGCCACAGAAGCACCAGTCCCTAGTTTGGTACTTGCCAGTGCAGGAAGAGCCCAAAGTTAGGGAGCACTTGGTATCTGAGCCCCAATTGTGCTTCCTGCCATTCATCTGTGCTGTGATAGGAGCTGCAACTGTTGGGATCGCAGCTCAGATCCTTAAAACTGAAGGTCTGCCAGGGTTCTCACAGGACATAAGTACAATTCCTTAATTATCCCTGATAGAATCCTTGCTTCAATTTACCACTTTAGAACTCAATAAAAACAACCAACAGTAGCACTTAACATCTTCAGCATAAATTTATTTAAGTCAGGGATAGGCAACACTTGGCACGTGCATCTTGGAGCAGACTGCAGAGGAGCTGCAAGGAGCCTGGTCTTTGTTGTGGCAATAGCAGCTCCAGCCTTTTTACTGTAGTCCACTTCAAGGGGTGCGTGCACCCACTTACCAGCAACGAGCCAGGCCAAGGCACCATAGACCCCGGTGCAGCTGCTTGCAGCCTGCTTGCTGCCTGGGCCAGCTGTGGCAAGCACCTGGGAAGCTGCAAGCAGCTGCACTGGGGTCTGCGAAGCCCCGGGCAAGCATTTTGCTGGCAGTGGGTGCACACATGCCTTGGAGCAAATGGTAGGAAAGGGGCCAAGACTGCAGCTCCCCTACCATCCTGCTCAGCATACCAACACCTTACAAGTTGAAGTTGCAGGTGTTTTTAGCACACTGCCCAAAAACACTGCTGACCCCTAGAATAAGTAATTCATCTTTTTCTTTTGTTCAAATGCAGCTTGCTGAAACAAAACAGGAGAAACCTTGAAATGATCTTAAGGAGAACAGGTTTTGGAGAGATCATAGGGAGAGTTTGCAGGGAAAAACCAGTTTCAGGGAAGAAAATCCACACTTCATTTCAGCAAAAGGACTGTAAAACTGAACTAAAATACGTTTAAGGCTGGAGGAACTGCTCTGTTTTGACTTGAAACTATTTTTCTTTTTTAAACTTAATGAAAACAAGTCTCCTGGCAAACATTAGACAGTTATTTGCAAAACGTGAACATTTTCTTTCAAACCTAATATTGGTGTGATACATTTGTGAAACAAAATATGCAATGCAAAGAAAGAAATGGAACACGAGCTACAATATGTCATCCATTCTATTCCGTTTCAGGTTCACTTTATACTCACATGCCAATCGTTCTTTTAACTGGGGTGTCGGGGCCAAATCAATGGTGCTTTTGTTGTGACAGTTCAATAGTGTTGGATCAGCACCATAACTTAACAGAAGAGAACATACTTCCACCCTATTCTTAGAAGCTGCTTCATGCAGAGGAGTGAACTGCCACAGATCCATTGCATTCACACATGCTCCATGCTGGGTGGGGGAGACGGACACAAAAGTAAAGGCAGACCATTAAAGAAAAACTGTAGTCATTAACTGTAATATAGCAGATAGTTAAGTGACTGTTATATACATATATACATAGATAGTTTCCAAGATCTTTTCCAGAAATATAGATCTTCAGTACTTAAATGGTCTAGCAGTGGAGACCCTGTAAGTGCAAAACAAACTGCACATAACAACCTTTAATGAACACAAAATTAATTTCAGGCTCATAACCAAACTGAAGTTGGAAAATAATTTCTCAAGAGAGACAATCTTAAAAAGCCCAACCCATTTACACGAAGTCAGACACTTCAGCAACTGAATTAACCAAGGAATTGCATTTGTTAGTAAAAATGTATATGCCACAGAAAACAGCCTTTAAGCCCCAAGCCTGTAACCTTCTGCAGACAGCTGTGCCAATACAAAGATTTAACAGAGGTATGTAGTTGTTTCTTTCTGCATTCAAGCTGTGACAACAGTAAGCATTGAATGATAAGCCATCAAGGATGACAATAAGGGAAGCTTTGCCAGAAATGTTTATACATGAAGACTAAAAAACACTGTCTTGGCATTTCTACAATATTTTTAACCCTGCTCAACTAAGAACTCTTCTTAAAAGCACTTGTGACACATCTGTAAGTTTGAAAGCAAAACCAAAAGTTTTCTTCCACCACATTCACAACCTTAAGATAAACACTGCTCAAGTTTTAAGAAGTGGCAGTCCATTCTTATATATGGCTCCTGGCAGATGTTACACTCATGACCACCTAATATTAATTAATTATTACAGATCAGTTAAACAGGTCATTAGTAGTAATTCAGCCTGTGACAGCTGAAAATTATGTCTGTGTGATTCTTGTCTGTGTGATTCTATGTCTGTGTGATTCTTCACAGAGCCTTGCTGAAGGCTCTGTGAAGATTAGACCAAGGGTTTTTCTGTCATTTGTTCAGAAATTAAGCTACATGTTGTTGTTAAAAGCCTAATTAAAGTAAAAGATGTAGTAAGGCCTAGTAAATTTAGCAAGGCCTTGTAGAAGTAGTGGTAAGCTTTGTGGCGTAGTTAAAATTAACCTTATCAGAAGAATGCAAGGCTTGTACTGCTATATTGGTCAGTCCTAAGAATAATTATAATGGGAGAATCTGGATGGCTGTAAGTTACCAGCATAGCTCAAAAGTTATAAATTGGCTGGCACATCCAGAAATCATTTAGAAGGAAGATGCAGCTCTGTAAAAGAAGCTTCTGATTTAAGATTAGCTGCTGGCCTGGATTCAGTGGGCCCATGGCTCTTGAAGAGCCCAAACAGTGGGTACCAGGGTCCTTCCTCGTACTCCTTGGACAGCGCTGATCAGGGACGCCTGACTTCGCTGCAGTTTGCAGAAGAGAAACTTGCCTTACATCAGGCATCAGAGGGGACTGCCGATAAGTTGCCAACATGAATTATTATAGTCTGCCCTTGTTTTGTTATTTACGCGTAGTTGTGTACTTGTTAAGTCAATAAACCTTTCTTACCTTCCTACCCTCGACCACACTCTCAATCCCAAACACTCAGCATGTGGCTGGGACACAGCCACACATCCATGCCATTAATGGCACAATAAAACAGAAAATAAGCTACAAAATTATTACACAAAATACTGTAAAGATTTTTTGTAATAACTTTGAGACTGGTTCTCATTCTGCTTTAAATTGAAATGTGCATCCAACACTGATCAGGGCTTCCAGCTTCAGGAGCACGCTGGAGCCCTTTGAGACTCCCATGCACTCCTGAGGCTGGGAATGCCAGTCGACTGGCACTTCTAGCCATGGGGGCACACTGAAGTGTAGGGCTCCCAATGCACCCTGTGCCTGGGAGTGATGATCTGCTGTCTGGCACTCCCAGCTGTGGGGGCACACTGGTGACCTAACTGGCATACTTAATTTATGCTGAAAAGGAGGATAGAGTTAGCACACCTAATATTAAACTGAATCCCTGAAACTTGATGTTAAGTACAAAATAAAATAGGAATGATTTATGATAGAAGAATCTTACCTAATTTGAAAAAGGAATTAAATTAAAGACCAACCTTTACTAGAAGTTCTGTTACTTCATAATGACCATAGGAACAGGCATTGTGAAGTGGCACCAAGTCCCTTGGCAGTGAGGAGGGAAAACAAACAAACAAATTAAGATTACTACATATATCTTGCCCCAGTATATGCCAATTTAGTACATTGCAAATTTCACAACTATGCTGCCTCTTAACAATTCCTCAAAGTTAAAGACTCACGTGTCTAACAAAGGGGTAGGAAAAAAAGAGACAGAAGAAAAGAAACACAGTTCCAAAAATATTCAAACCAATCTCTTTTTAAAAAGATCAAAGAAAGAAGAATGGAAGTCGTATTGTTTGTATAAGCAACTTGGTTCCAGGCACCGTATCAATTTAAAGGATAATTAAACGGAAAACAATACATCAACACAAGTTATTTCAAAAGATGGCAAGTTTGCAAAACTTACATAAAGTAAAAGCTGCCTTAACTGGCACCTTACAAGCTGGCACGCTTTATTAATTGGCATGCTGGCTTGTAAGGTAAAAGCGAAACCTGAAGTGCCCACTGTGGCACTTCCAGTTTCGCTGAGCCGCCATGGGCCGGGGCAAAACAGCCTGCGCTGCTGAGTCCCCATGGCCCGAGGCACAGCAGCCAGCGTGGAGCCCACGTCCGTCCCTCAGGGTCCGTGGAAGGGGCAGTGATGCAGCGGAAGGGGTGGTGATGCTCCGGACTCAGCAGGAGAGGTAGTAGCCCGAACAGGCAAACTGTTTGGGCCTCAGTTAACAGGCATATTTTGTTATCCGGCACCACCCATTCCCCATGGGTGCCAGATAAAGCTTTTGCTGTAATTCAGTGGTGCTTAATCCTGGCCCACTATCTGGATCCAGCTTGCACAGCCATATCATCCAGCCTGTAGGACTCCCTAAAGGTCAAGCTATTTGGCAGCCGAGAGGAACAGTAGCCGTGTTAATTGCTCCCAGAACTATGGAAATGAACACTTAGAGGGCAACCTAGGCGACAGTGACCATGAAATCATTACGTTCATAGTCCATCACAAGTCTGACAAATCAGATACCAAGCTCAAAGTCTTAGACTTCAAAAATGCAAATTTTAATAAGCTCAGGTCACTAGTAGAGAGTGTCCTGAGAGACCAAGGACCACAGGTAAAGGGAGCATGAGAAAAATGGTCATTCCTTAAGGATACAATCCTTAAGGCTCAGCAAAAATCCATTCCCTTATGGAGAAAAAGTAGCAGAAGGGTCAAAGAACCCTCTTGGCAAAGCAAGGAAGTTGCAGCCCTGCTACAGAAAAAGAAAGAGGCATACAAACATTGGAAGCTTGGGACAGCCTCTAAGGAAGACTACTTGACAATGGCCCACACCTGTAGAAACCAGATTAAGCAAGCTAAGGCAGAAACTGAACTAAAATTAGCTACAAAAATCAAGGACAACAAGAAGTCCTTCTTTAGCTACATAGGTAGTAAAAGGAAAACTAATAGGAGTGTGGGGCTGCTACTCAATGCCTCAGGATAAAACGGAACTCCTAAATGACTACTTTGCCTCCGTCTTTCACAAGACCAAGGGGAACAACATGCCAGGGAGGGCACAGAACGAGCAGGGTGGGATTGACATCATTCCCACCATTGCCACAGAACTGGTGTATGATCAATTAAAGAAATTAGAAGTATATAAAATCAGGAGCAGATGAACTCCACCCAAGAGTGCTGCAAGAGTTGGCTGAAGTAATCGCATAGCCCCTAGCAAAAGTCTTTAAAAATCATGGGCCCCCGGAGAAATCCCAGAGGACTGGAAGAGGGCCAATGTTTTGCCCATCTTCAAGAAGGGGAAGTGCGAAGACCCAGGAAACTACAGGCCAATTAGCTTAACTCTATTCCAGGGAAAATCCTAGAAACATTCATCAAATAGGCTATATGTGACAAATTTGCAGAAGGCATGATACTGAATGACAGCCAGCATGGCTTCATTGTGGGCAGGTCTTGTCTGACCAACTTCATATCTTTCTATGATCAGGAGACTTGTCACCTGGATGAGAGAAAAGTGGTTGACATCATATACCTCGACTTCCAAAAAGCCTTTGACCTGGTATCCTATGAGGTACTGATCAGAAAACTGGAAGATACTGGGCTTTACTGCGGGACCATCAAGTGGGTGCAAAACTGGTTGCGGGGTAGGACACAGAGAGTCCAAATGAACGGATCGGTGTCACCGTGGCGAGATGTGGGTAGTACCCTAGGGGTCGGTACTTGGCCAAGTGCTGTTCAATATCTTCATCAATGACTTGGATGAGGAGGTGAAAAGCCCATTGGCCAAGTTTGCAGATGACCCCAAGATATGGGGTTGTGCGGACACACCTGCAGATACAAGCAGACGTAGACAGGCTGGCATGCTGGGCACAACAGAACCAGATGAGGCTCAATGTAGAGAAATGCAAAGTGCTGCATCTGGGAAGGAAGAACCCCAGCACACCTACAAGCTGGGCATCATTAACCTGACCAGCACTACAAATGAAAGGGATCTGGGGGTAACAACAGACCCCAGCATGAATATGAGCCGGCAATGCGACGCAGTAGCCGCTGGGGCCAATAAAACTCTGGCATGCATCAACTGATGTATCTCCAGTAAATCTAAAGAAGTGATTCTCCCACTTTACTCAACACTGGTGCGGTTGCAGCTGGAGTACGGCGTCCAGCTCTGGGCACCGCACTTCAATAAGGATGTGCTAAAGCTCAAAAGGGTCCAGAGAAGGGCCACCCGCATGATCAGGGACTTGCATGGCAAACCATATGAGGAGAGGCTGACAGATCTTGGACTCTTCAGGCTAAAGAAAAGAAGGCTGAGAGGGGACGCGACTGCAGCTTACTGCTATATCAGAGGCATATAACTGCTCACCAGGGCACCCTGGGGAAAAACTAGAAACGATGGCCACAAACTCCTGGAAGACAGTTTCAGGCCGAACATTAGGAAAAACTTCTTTATAACTAGGGTGTCCAGACTATGGAACAAGCTCCCCCGAGAGGTGGTGTAATCATTTACCCGAGAGGTCACTGTGTGTTCCAGATGACATGGCCCACATACACTGGACTGGTTGGATCTGGTGTGCAGGGACAGACTGGCACACAGAATTTAGCTTGCAAGGCCAGTTATGTTGAGTACCACTGATCTAACTGGTTGGTTCTAAAGTCACTGGGCATGACTGTATGCTGTGTATTTAAGAGGCCCAAAGACCTTGCAATCCAGAGAGAATGGAATGGAAGATGGTTGGGAAAAAAAAGTTTTCTATACTCCCACGCTGGAGGTGGGGTGTGCACAGACACTGTCAGGAAAACTTAGAGAAATCAGAGAGATGAAATGTCAGGGAGGCCTGACTGAAAAGGGTTTCACCTTGGGTCTTTCATTAGATGGATATTGTAGGTACCTTTAAAGTGTGTGTGTGGGGGAGTGGGGTGGGAAGGGAGGAAAGAGTTAATAAAAATTCAGTTTTCCAAAATCTTGGCTTATTTCAGTCAGGTTTCTCAAATCCTTATACAATAAGAGAACTCTTAGAAATATGCAATCTAAAAATTAAATAAATGTGAAACAAAGTTGTTCTATTATTTTATTACAATTTTTTAGTGAACAAAAATAATGACAATGAAGGGAAGTGAAGTGAAGACTTGATCAACTACAGAGGCATGTCCTGAATTTTAACAGCAATGATATAAAAGCATTTCTATTTATCTAAAAATCACTTCACATCTTTTGAACATTCAGCAGTTGTCTGTTTATAACTTAGAATGCAGCACAGTTATGGCCAATTTAGCACAAAAGGTTATTCTTAAAATTGGGACCAAAACTTATGAATTTACAATATATGTTAAACACAGCATATCAACCTCAAAATTTCTGACATGTGACTTGGTTCAATTTTTTTTTTTAAATAAGGGTTCTCTATTGCATAATAAAGTCTGTTATTGATACATAACAAACAAGTGAATTACAAGCTTACCCTTTATCCTTAGCATGCACATCAGCTCCATGTTGTAGTAACAACTGCACAATCTTAACTCGGTTATATCCAGCTGCTAAGTGCAATGGAGTTGACTGAAAAGACAAACAGTTTTAGATAAATCAAAATCATAAATCCAACTAACAGTAAATATAATGAAATATGTAAAAATAATGTCCTCAAAATACTGAATCAGTAAAGAGTGTTTGAACCAGGTGTCTGGCAACTTTTCCCACTAAACACTGAAACAGCAAGGTTTTTTCAATAATACATTTAAATGATAGCTACCATGAAAGATTTTTGAGCCCTTCAGCCAGCTATGACTACTTCTCAGTTCAGTTCTTTCATAAATGTAAATATTCTACCAGTACAGATTGCCATATTATGAATAGGTCTCCTCACCTAATGGCCAGTTAAATTTTGATGTAATCCATGGGTATTATTAACTAAACTTGAAAAAAAAAAAAAAAAAAAAAGAGTAGGTTTGAAGTAAGGAGGAGGTTGGAGAAAAAAAAAAAAAATCACCTTATCCTTCACTTGCACTGCCAAGGCAGATGATTGATTTATGTTCTGTCTAACCAAACCAGATGGGGAAATTTAACAGTGCCCAGTACACAACAACAAGAAGCAACAGACTTTGCACAATGACCTTATCCTTTTCATTCAGGAAGATCATCAGCACCAGGAAATTTTAGTTTTTGGAGACCACACATGTTTTAGAGTAAGTGAAACAGCAGCACCAATATTTTGGAGGCCCCTTAGCACAGGGCCTACCCAGCCCTGATTTGTGAGAAAGTTAGAAACCACAAAGAATGAGCATACTCAAATATCTAACAGGGCCAAAAGATGGAAACTTGACCCTTCAAAAAGAAGTAGGTTCAGGCTAAATGGATTTCTGGATTTCCTGGACAGATTTTGGCATCTGTAGCTTAAATGTGCTTATCTAGTTACCAATATATAAACAATATCCAGTTCCTATAAATGCCAACATTACCTTAATTTTATGAAGAAGTGATGTCAAAACAACTGATATACCTTAGGGTACATGACTACAGTAGTGCAAAAGAACAGCCTAGGACTAACTGATCAAGTCATTTGATAAATATTAGCATAAAAAAAAATGTGAGGTCTTTTCCATGACTTTGACATTGGTGCAGCTGGCGAAAAGGTCAGGCAGAAGTTCCTAGAGAAAAGGTGTTTTACCTGACCCAGGTATGTGAATGGCTGCTTAGAAAACAAAACAAAAAAATCTTCTGACAACTGCCAGCAAGTATATTCCTTATCTTCACAAATATTTAAGTAATTTGAACTGACACCTAATAACCAATAATTCTTAAATTTTGATCAAATGCTAGTTTTAAATATAAAGTAATAAGCTGAACAACATCTGAAAATAAGATTTAGTGAAATGCAACATTTTAACTAAAATACCTTTCTACCATCACTTGCATGACAGTTGACATTTAATGGTGTAAGAAGAGACATCATCTTTTCTTCATTTCCACTCCTACAAAACAAGGTTTTAAAAACACGTCAGAGTTTTGACTGCCAACAGTTAAGGAAGTCCCATATTTCCTTGAATACAAGATTCCCTGCTCCCACCACAAGCAGCATGGGAAAAAGAGCCCCTCATCTTATATTTGCATACAAGAAAACCTCATTAAATACACTATCTATAATTAAAATGCTGCCAAAAGCAGCATGTACCCACAGCAATGGAAACCAACTGTGAAGCTGATTCAATGCAGCCACTACTGAACATAACTATACAACACATGGCCTACACTGGGCAAACAAACCAATACGAACCTACCACAAGAACAGATTAGTGAAGGGGTGGGCAATTATTTTAGCTGGAGGGCTACTTAATGAGTTTTGGTGAGGTGTCGAGAGCTGCACATAAAGTCTTTCAGAATATATTTTAATAAATTATAGATTAAAAAATAAATCATATGAAAAAGAAAAAATTAAAATGTTACAGTACATGTTATTTCCCAGCTGTGGCAGGCAGCTGGGAGGCGCTCGTTGCTGGCAGTGGGTCCACACACAATGAGCAGGGCCAGGGCTCCGCAGACTCCAGTGTAGCCTCCTAGCTGCCTGCCACAGCTGGCCTGGGACCCTGCTGCAGCTGTTTGTGCAGCCTGCCTGCCTCCTGCTGTGGTTTTGGACCATCTGGCAATCTGCAGGGAGTGGTGGGACTGCTGGGGCCACTCAGCCAGAGGCATGTGGGGTGGGAGGCATCTCACACAGCCTGTGAAAATAGCAGCTGGCCCCAGGATCTGGCCATAAAATCAGCCAGCCACCTCATAGATTTTGGCAGACCTCTAATCTTAAGCTTTTTTGGCTTTGGACTATTATTATGCATAGTTTGTACTGTGTGTAAATAGGTACAACAATGCTGCTTAAAAATGTATTTATGGAGTACCTGTGCTAAAGCAAGGTGCATCAATTCTGAATAAACTATGTCTATGGGTACCTGTAGTAATTTGCTGGTATCTGGGGGGCTAAGTTGCCCTTTGGCCTCCCCAGTGTGTGGAAGAAGCTGGGGAGGGGAGAGGGCAACCTAACCCACCAGAATTATTTTTCCTGCTGCAGCTATGAGAGGGGGAAAAATTTGGCTCCAATAATTAGATTCCGCAGGTGGAAAATTATAACAAATTTATGAATTTCCCATATACAGAATCTAATTATTGGGGGTTGTCTTATATTCTGGGTCACCTTATACTTGAGTAAATATGATAAGTATGCTTCTTGTTTAAACCTTTATGAAGGAAAAACTTAAGCAAATTTATATTTACTTCTGTTTTGCTGACATCAACTCTTCTCTCTCAAAAGAAAAAAAAAAAGGAATGTCTCATAACTGTTTATCAGTTTCACCCACAAGGGACAGCCCTGGACTTGTACCAAGCCAGCTCAAAGTTAATTTACATACATTATATGAAAAGTGGACAATTCTCACAACACTGCCATATTCATATTTTCCACAGAAATACATACCTGGCACTTTCTAAGAGCTCATCTTTCTTGTATTCACCTGAAAATTAACAGAAAATGGATTTTGTTTATTCTTAGACACACACAGTTGGATACTAATTTAGACAAAGAACCTGTCATTTATATTTGAGGTAGCCACATAAAAAATTACTTTTATACATAATGTTAACAGCCTGCACAATCCTCAGAGAAGAGTAAAGTGCTGGTATGAATGCAAACCATTAAATTAGCACAATAATCAGCTTTCCAGAACACATCATGTCACATGCCTGCATTTTGAGAACATTCAGCCCACAAAATGATTCTCTGTTTGGAGCTGTAAAAGGTAAATTATAATTAAGCTAATATTAAGAAATGAGACATCCACACAGGTAAGAATATTTTTCATAAGAATTATGACAGCTATAAGCCAATGTGTACCATTTGAAAATGAATGTGTATCACTTACCAGTCAGCACTGACTTTGCCGATGGATCTGCTAAGTCCAAAGCTGTCCTTCCATCTGTATTACGGATGGTCGGCTCAGCACCATGTTGTAACAGAACTACAATAGCAAAATCCTTTATGTGAAAAGAATTCTGAAAAACCAGGCTTATGCTATGGCTTATCATTCAACTGGGACCCAATAGAAGAGAACAGTTGGGTAGAGGATCTCAGTTTCCCAGTGCAAACCCTTTGTGTCAAGATCCCTTAAAGCTGTTTTGTAAATTTACCTTCCTCAAAATAATGTGCCTAAAGTGATGATAAACTATTATGTCTGAGTAAAGGTTCAGAATAATATCTGCAGAACTGCACGTCTGAAGCTAAGGGCTCAAACAAATTTAATTTCTCGACTCCATTTTGCCTTTATCGTGCTCATAAATGTTTAGTCAGAACACAAGTTCAATTTAATCTCTTCCTCCTAGTAAAGGCTTTGACTAGCTAAGCAAGAGTAGTGGCACAAAAAACAGAATTAATCTATTATTAGTAATAGCTTCCGTTCTTAAAAGCATGTCTTCCATGTCTCAAAAGCATTGTCTCAGGATTGGGAAGGAGCAGGTAGGAAATTGAGTCTTGGGGGCAAATCAATTTTCAAAATTAATCCATCTTACATCCCTCTGGTTCCCTTGACCACATCAACATTAAGGCGGTATCTGAGGTTACAGGGCATTTCTTTTTGTACTTGAGTAACCAACAGGAAAAGTCAAAAGACGTTTTTTAAAATTGCAGCTATTTTATTTCTGAAGTGCAAGTTCCAGTTTAAAATAGATTTTTTGTTTTAGCAAGTGTAAGACATTCTAAAATTTATTGGTAAGCACAGCTTGATAAAGAAAAATAGGGGCTTTGAAAGGTTTTAGTGCGTCATATGGAAATCAGCCAGCAGCAGGGGAAATTTAAGAAAATTACCTACCTATACAGACATCAATCTTTCCCTTAATGGCAGCTTCGTGAAGGGGAGTATAGTTCCAATTATCCCGAGCATTAGGATCTGCACCATGACGCAAGAGAAGATTGACAACTTCAGCATGACCAAAAGAGCAGGCATTATGAAGAGGAATGAGGCCCCCATCATCGCGTGCATGGACATTGGCACCACTCTGAAGCAAATATTCAACTACATCCTTCCGACCAAAGCCTGAAACAAAGAGAGGATTTTGTATAGCCCATCAGGGACAAAAGCTATAAATAAAGAAAAGACCAAAAGTAAAAATAGGAAATCAAAACACTTGAAGGGGGTCACTACTGTATTCAAAACCAGGACTCCAGCTGTATGCTACAAGTGGTGACTTGCCCTCGCCCTATATGCTAATTTAGAGGTGGCTCATTTCACAGCATCTTTACAAAACCTGTTTCCTTCCTTTGAGGAAGACAATTTCCTCTTATAAATTGTAGGGTACATTAAACAGGTCAGTGTCAACTAACTTGCAGATTTTCAGTAACATATTTAGAAAATATGGTGGTTGTTTAGCTTTTTCTAGAATAAACTGTTTCAACCACTTCCTGTAGCGATTACATCCTTTTTAAAACTGTATCTGTTGCCTTGTGCAGTCCACAGGTCTCTTTACTAGTCCTCATTTTGGATTCTGTTTTGCTAAGCCATACAAAAACCACCCCCTTTTAAAGATGTATTAAATAGTTAGAAATTTAAGTCTTTCAACATATCTTGACAGAAACAAACAAGGCACTTTCCATGTACTAAATAAGCTCTTAATAGGTAATGTCAGCTCGGCACAGGCTAATATGACAGGATAAATAAGGAAAATCCAGATGAAAAGCAATTTTTTAATTTAGTTGTCTTTACTAGCCACATGTATCCTGCAAATCATTCACTAGGGACAACAGAATTATTTTCAACTTTCTATCTTCAAACCTGTCAACTATAACGACTTTTTTCTGTGAAACTAATTGACTAATTATAGTCAATCTGTCATCAACAAGAAAAAAATTACAGAAAATGAAATAGCGATCTAAATTCTAGATATAAAATCTAAACATAATATCTGGTCAGAACAATCTAAGAGAAATGAAATGTTTGAGATTTAAAGCAAGTAAGAATCTTGAAGTTCTCTGTTAATAGTGATCAGTTTTCATTTTAGGAGACAGAAAACAATTTTGCCACAAATTCCAATATACAGGATTCCTTTTAAAGGTGCAAGCACTCTGAGGCAAGAACCAACTTTTTGTTCTGTGGCTGTACTGAACCTAGATTAGGGCTCCTAAATACTACAATAATTCAAAGAAATGGTAAAATAATGGTAGACCTGAGCTTAAAATTCTAAATTAAATGGAAGATTGCTGCTCATATTTAAATACCAACATACAATCCTCTCTCAACTCACAAATGGATCTATGTCAGAGTCAGGACAAGATATTTAATCATGCAAGCTTTTTATGAAATAAAAAAGCCATTTACTCATGAAAAGCTGTTTTACTTAATCATAAGGCCTATCATTGTTAAAAAAAATCAACTGCTCCCAGATAAAAAAAAAATCTAGCAGAGCTGACATCATGCACTTAACACAGCATACTCAATCTTTTCTTCCTTGGAATCATCACTTAAACCCTTGGAAGAAACATCCAACAGGCAAGTAGCCTCTGAAGTAATTTGGTTGGAGTCTGCAGGGCTGTTATTTAAGGATGTTCAGAATGTCTGTTTTCAGTGATTCCTAATATAAGTATAAAGATCTGATTAAGGATGATACAAGAATAGATTTTTAAATAAACTCTTAGGTGAGGCTTTACATAATCCTTAAATTATTGGAAAGCAAAATATATGCTTTGTATTTTAATTAAACCTAGCTTGCAAGTAATACTGGCTGAGGGAGTAAATGTTTTCCATTGTCATAAAAGTCTATACAAGCAGATAATAATTACTCAGCAAGCGAGTACCAGGCCCATTTAATGTTATCTTGCAGTAACACAAGCTTTGTTTCAAGTCAATTCTGCAATTCATTACCCTAATTTAGCTATGCCGGGATCAGCAACATTTTCTGTCTGTGGGCTGGGATAACTCACCCTGGGTCAGAGGCAGGCAGACAGGCGGGCGCAAGGACCTGCCTGCTGCCAGCACTTGTCTACATAGCAGCACAGAGAGAGCACCCTGCTGAAGCCCCACATCCATGGGTTGGATCTAGCCCATAAGGCCACAGATTGGCAATGCCAGAGCTATACCATTAAACATTTTTGAAATTCCCATATACCAACATTGCTAAACATGTCTATCCCTATGTATTAAGTTTTTCTGGTTATGTCTTTTCAAGAAGCTAGGATGACTTCAGGCACTCGCTGAACTTTATTCTGCCTACACAGCTAAACCTTATAGGATGTAACTGATGACGACAATAAAGGCCCTTGGGGTGTTTCAGCAGCTCTCTAACACAATGAGGAACAAGCTTCACTCCTAAAAAGATCCAAAGGATCAAGCATGAAATCCCTTTCCTGGAGCTGCTAGTCCCCAGACAGATCTTCACATGATCAACACATGTAGACAACATTTGGACATTCAAATCACAGTACAGATAATTCCTGGATAGCTATCATGCAGCTGGGAAACTTGAGATGTCAAAGCCTTGTGATTACTACTTGCCATAACTTTTCAGAATCCATTGAAACGAGTGTCACACAGTATGAATGCTAACAAAATAGCTACAGCCCCGAACTTCCACTGCAGTCTTCGTCAGAACCTGCTGAATCAAGTAAATCTTTTCTGTGAGACTGGCTACAACTAGGACTGCAGCCTGAGGCAAGAACGTCTTTTGGCTCTAGGTAGGCATTATTTAAACTTCAAAAACAAATCAGATGCTTCACCAGTGATTCCTAGAACTTCTGTATGGATTTAGCATGGATTCCTCACTTCCTTGGGGAAGTGTGTATGGGAGAAGGAGCCAATGTGAGTATAGCAGTGCCTCTGATTAACTCTCCCCTTTCAGCAAGGCACTGAGGACAGTAATGTTGGTGAATCAGTACTGCTTCTTTATTTTTCAATGGACAGCTTGGAAAAGGGAGCCAATTACCATACATAGCAGTGGCTCTTGCTTTAATTAAGGATAGAAAGAGAAGACTGCCTTCGTGGACAAAGAAGAGGGAGCTACTATCTATGCAATAACTCCTCTTCAGCACTACCCCACTGCTACAGGAGGGGCTCATCATTTTTCTTTATTGTTTTGCGTAGATATATATGTTCAGTCTCATATCGGATTGGCACTGATATAGGGAAAAATCGATAGCATCAGAAATCTGCATTTTTGCCTGAGGTGGCCGATAAATGCCCCGTGCATGTGCACAGCTGCAGCATGCACGCAGCCAGGTGCGCAGTCTGACGGCTTGGAGAGCAGGATCTGGCTGATAAGCCTGTTGTGAGAGAAGGGAAGAGGTGTGGGGAGCGGCAAATTGAGGCCCCTGCAGTAGGGAGGGACTGGGGCAGGCATTGCACAGCCAGTTGGGGGCGTGGGATGAGTCATGAGTGGCTTGTCCAGGGGGAGAGGCTCCTGCCACTGCACGCATCCTGGGAGGTCATGGGGGGCACGTTCCCCTGGATCTGCGTGTGGGGCGAGGGCAGGCTGCTGCTGTGGACTGGGGCAGTGCTAGGCTATCTCTGGCAGGGGTGTTGGGCAGGGCTGGGCTCGGGGCGGGCGGCAGCAGTGCTGGGAGGGAGGCTATGGCAAATTCTGGGGTGGCTGCAGCAGCCTTCCCCCTGCAGCCCCTTCCCAATGCCACTGCCATCTGTCCCAAGCGCAGCCTGGCTCTGCTCCCCTCCCAGGAAGAGCCTGGCACCATCCCGGTCCCAGCCTGCAGCAGCAGCCTGCACTTGTCCTGAATGAAGGTCACACACCCCCACAGATGGGTGCAGGGCAGAAGCTGCTTCCCCCTCCCCCTGC